TATCACACAGTTTCACTGAAAACATTAACATGGTCTCCAAAGGTCTGACTCTGACACAGATGTGGGCATTCTGCTCCCATTTTAATGACAGTAAATTAATATTTACTAGCAGATAGCAAATTAATCTACAACTTAGCAGCCTCTTTATGGTGTTGTCCTACAGGGACATTGCATAGCTGTGAGGTCACTGTAAGGACATGTTTTAGCAGGGAAGAAAAAGCATACAAAATATACAGTTTTAATGGGGCACACGATCATTTATGACGTTCAAAAATCCACACATCTTATTTTTCCTTCATTCATAATGAAATTTACAGTTAATGTGCAAAAAACATAAGCCTTTAGTGGGGTGTCCTGAGCTGAGTCTTCCAACATATATATATTAATTACTCGCATCAGAGAATGCCATTTGGTAAAATAATAAATGAAGTCATCTTTTACTTATGAGAACTACCAACAGGATTTGCTCTTCCATGCCCTTATTTGTGAAACTTTTGGAACACTGTGCTCTGTACATAATTGTGTGGTCTCTCTTATCGTTGTTTTTTTGCATCCCTTAAATTCAGAGACATAGCAGGGTGTGGCTTCTTTTTCCATTAAAGGCTGTTTTGGGTAACATTAATCTAAGATCTATTTTGTTATGCTAACAGCTAAAGGCTTTATAATAATAATTTCTATTTGGCAGCATCACAGTCAGCTTCACTGATGTGAAGTTCTTTCAATTCTCTTTCAGGGCTGAGAAAATCTGCAGCAATTCTGAGGTGACTTCATGTTTTTCATCTTTTATCACAAAGGTATTGCTGGGGAACTATCTAAGAAAGAAATGCAGATAAGCAATATCATCATCAGCAAAAAGGGAAGGGAAATGGTATTTGCTTTCTTGTCAGACTTGAACAAAATCAAAGGCAGCTGTAAGCTTTCAGAGAGGAACAACAATTTAAGTATGTCAAATTTCTAGAACTTGAATGGATGTGGAAATATTGATGTGCAGAAGACTGGTTACAAATTTATAAAGTTTTTTAATAGCTTGTGATAATACTGACAGGAAAACAAGGTGTCTGGCAATAGCAAACAAACAGAGTGCAGGAACACATGCAATAACAGTGGTTATAATAGTGGCAACATGACCTTCCTTATGCTCTTCAACACTTTTTCCTCACTTATATCAGAAGGCAGAGCTGAAGTTGCTGGGACACCTGGGAAAACACCAAAGCCCATGTGCAAAACTGGAAGGTCAGACCCCTGAAGCAGCTGTCAGCTTTGCCTTGCACCTCCCAGTGTCCTCCCATCCGCACAGACAGTTTCCAGGCTGCTTACCGCTAGGCTCACCAGCAGAGCTGCAAACCTGAGTGCTTGCAGGCGCGTGGGAGAGCCTGTGCCGGATGCATTTGAACCTCTTCATGATGTGAAGAAAGTGGGAGAGGCGAGGCATCACGAAGCTTCCCAGGATGCTCTTATGAAAAATATAACCTATGCAGCCCGGGTTCATAAATCCTTTACTCTCGGGATTTGTACTCCTAAGTCTTCAAGGTACTTCTGACAATATTTCTTTTAATATGAATTCATTCTTTTTGGAGTACTTACTGAAACTTCAATAAATCCTAGAGTCAGTAGTCTTACACCAATCCGACCTTCTCTCTTAAGGTTAGGAAGGAGTGCCCTTGGCATAGGTTGAATTGAAGGGGATTTCCTTTTGTTTTGCAATGTGCACGCAGACAAGCAGGCACCAGGCTACAAGTGAGTAACTTTCCCACTAATCCTCCAAGGCGTGTGACAATATGACCCTGAGCTTTTACAACTAAGAACAGTATGGTATGTAAATATTATGAACATATATGGTAAGTGCTCTACTGGCTGAATAACATGGAAAATGATTCCCGAGAATGCCTAGCTGACCCCAAATCTACACAGATTATTCTTCTTTTTTCTCTGCAGCATTCATCTCTGTTAAAAACAATGATGATATATTAGATGCAAGTTCACTGGAGCAGGAATTATGTCTTGTTTTCTTTCTCAATTAAGCATCCATTTTGGATATAAATAATCAAGATGAGAAATAAAAAAAAAAATGTACTGCTTTGTATTTGCCACTACATTCTTTCCAGAGAGAAAAAATCATATGTTGAAATGAGGACATTTTAACTGCTAGCTGGAAGTCAGGATGTCACTGCGACACATTAAATGATTCTGAAGTACATGACTTGCTCTCTAAAGATAAGCACTTAAAAATTTAAGAAAATCTGTCACTATTTCTTTGAGAATGTAATGGCACCTGTTAAAGATATTAATCTATTGGGGAGGGGGGGAAGGAATAAAGAATATAGTTTTAAGCCTGTGAATAGAAATTTAACAACACAATAGAAAGTTGCCTTTTTATAATGAATGGATACTATGCTGAAATCTTATCAGTGGCACCAAAACAATGCAATACTGAGGTTTATTTAAACACAAGCAAATGGGATAAAGCAGAAGAGGAGAAGAATGCAGTTGAGATTTACTGATTTTGCAATGAAAATAAAAAGTTATGAATACCCTTTCAATAGCACTCCCTAACATTGCAAGGGTCCTATATTGTCTACCCATTTAATAACCAACATACTTTTATGTCTTGCAGCTACTGATATGCTCTGCCTTTGGAAGTTTCCATCTCTTAACAGGTATAAGTAACAGCAGATTATTTCTGTTCTCACTGTGTATTTTCCTGATTTGCAATTCAGCTTTCATTATTGATAGAGACTTGGAACCTGCAACCCACAGAGAATTCCCAAGAGTGAGGATTTACCCATGGAACTACACCAAGAATAAATTAGAATGTGGACTTCAGAGGCACCACTCACAGGGGTATGAACTACTGGCTCCTGTCCACTGTTTCTGTACTTTGGTTATTTCCATTTAGTTTAACTTGATTAGATTCCAGCACTCGGTAAACTTTATCAACTTTTTTTTTTTTTTTTTTGGAAGATATGCTTGTATATCAACTACATTTTTCACATCCTTGCCCAACCTCTAGAAAAAGCTCTTAATAGAAAAGGAACTTTTCAGTTTCACCTATGAAAAAGCAACAACCAAATTTCCACTATGATTTGGGATCAAGTATCAAGTGCTGGAAGAATGTCACAATTATTCAGGTGAATTGTTAACTGAAGTGTAAGGATACTAACTGAGGCAAGATTGTTTTCTGCAGTGTCACTGTGAACATGCATTCTCCCAGCGTGACACAGTGTTTATGATTGATAGTGGCTGTTAAATCCGGATTAGGAGCAACCTGTTCTCAAATCCTTCCTCTACCTAATGGTCCTCGCTTAACATTGTTAATTTCTGGTAACCCTGCTATTCTTCCAAGGGCGTAAAAAAAAAAAAAAAAAAAAAAAGGAAAAGAAAAAGAAAGGAAAAAAAGTAGGATTGACATTGAAAAAAAGATGGTGTAGTAGCAAGGAACATCTCCTGCATCCACTTACTGAAGAATGCAGAGTTCAATTTTCAAAACAGGAAATCAGCTTGTTTTCTTCAATAGAAAATGCTAGTCTGTATGAAATACAAGTAATAAACAAATGTTCTCTCATGGTCTCAGATTGCTGACTGTGTTTTAGAGCAATTGAGAATTTGTTAGGAGTTTGCCCTAGCAAACACCTATGTCCTTAGGGGAAAAGGACTATGGAAAGGTTTTCCTTTTAAAGTCTGATCAAATCCCATTGAAGCCAGTGGAAAAAAACACTCCTGTTGACTCTGAGTTCAGGCCCATATAGAAATCAGTCTGATGACAACTAATTATTTAACTCCTGACTGAAAATTAGAATTGATGAACTGATAAAAATAACATGCAAGTAATCCCGCAAAATTATTTCAGGGTATATTTCACTACTGCTGTTGCTAGGCTCTTGCCACCTCTTGTTCACAGATATTCAGGCTAAGTTACAGCTTAGACATGACAATGTTTGAAAATATTTGAAGTTCAAAAGTTTTTGGACAAGTGATCAATCATCTGGAAATTCATCACAGAAATCCATTACACAGTAGCTGTCACCGTTTCCGTCTTTTGTTTAATCAGCCACTCAAGTGGAAGCCTCAACTAGGTCCCAGATTTGTTTAAAGCTAAGGTTATAAATTACCTTATACACAGAAGAAATATTTCTGCACACTAAATAATCAATTATATAGCTTTCAAAAACCCCAGAGGATAAAATTTGAGTGCCAGTACTACTTTTTTTTTTCCCCACGAAAGCTTTAGCATAAACAGCCATACATAAAATTATACAAATCATACAGAAAGTTGAGCACTATATTAACAAGATGAGAAGAGCTAAAAGAATTGTTACCCTCAGAGTAGCAAAATTTATCAGAAAGTAGCCGATTTTAGCCAAGATATTTTCACACCACAAATATATAATGTTGTTACAGACCTTGCAATAGTGCAATGTCATAAAGCCACGCAGAATTTTCTGTGTAATTTGTGTGAATGCAAAACTTTGGGCTATTACATGCTGCCATTGAAGTAGCTTAAAGGCTCAGACACCTCTATAAATTATCAAGTGAAAATTCAAAAGAAAGAAAGAAGAATCACAGGCATGAAGTTGCCTACCTAGGATCCATGCAGAGATAGTACCACACTCATCTACACTGTTGTAGGATGCTGAAACTACAGCAGGAATAACAGAATGGGCAGTGCAATGTGTTCATTTCCTTGCTGCCAACCAAGAGAATAAAGCGAATGGTCTGAATTTTACTAATATACTGACCAGCAACTGTAACTAGCAGATAAACACTACTTGTCCTGCTCTCCTAAGATGGATTTGGCAACTACCAGTTCATAAGTACACAGGATGACAATGAGCAGTAATATCTTTAGGGGTCACATCCAAATCCAGCAAGGCTCATGAATCAGAGTTTGAACACTGGTTTTGTGAGACACATACAGTTTTAAATATAAAATTAATGCCAAATAAAATCAGCTTTACACTGAGTAACTGTTGGAGTAAGAAACACTGGGGTGTAAATAGTACCTTAGTTAAGCACAGAATTCGATGTAGATTGTTTCATATCACAATACTTTCTGAGACAGAAGAAATGAAGATAGATTTCATTCTTCACTTGGAGATCAGGAAGGAGTTTCACCTTCAGCTCTCTCCTTAAGAGCTGCACATGGGTGGGTTTGTTGTTGTGGTTTCTCACATTATCCAGGTGCAGCACTCATTGAAGATGACTAGCAGAATACTCATCTTAACCCAGTGCTGTCCTAACCCAGAAGGGTAGATTTTGTATTCCAGCTTCCCACACACGGCAGTCCTGTACATTCTTATCTGTTGCACAATAATCATAGTAGTCATTTACTAGATCTCTCCCCCTCCCTATTAATTAGTTAATATTCTGTATTCATCTCTGAGTAATCCAAGGCTGTGATTTTCACCCTATCTGTTAGACACCTTGTGATCGACCATATTCTCCTGCCTTTGTGCCTTATGGGGCATGGAGGAAATCAGAGAAAGGGCGAACAATAGAAGGGTGCACGCGAATAACAGAATTCCTTGTTCTTTCTTCAGCTCCATGCAATAGGTGTACACATGCACAAAGATAATTCCTGGTGAAAATGAATATTTGTCTGTGGGAGTCAGAACTGAATCAGGATTGACACTGATTTCAATTGCAGATGCTGGCACAGAGTAAAATTATTTTTCAAACACAGAAGCATTCCCTGGTAAAGTATTTAAGGTTGCATTTTCAAGCTAGAAGGAAAAAGTGATGAAAAGTTCTTAAAACTGAAGAAACGAAATCCTTGATACTGATCCAAAGCCCTGCAAAACAAGATCCCATATGGTAATGACAAACCTTAGGAGAACAGAGGGGGATAAAATGGGTATATTTTCCTTCATTTTCTCTTTTACTCCTTTGTTTTTTAAAATTGCATATAATATGTCATAGGAGGGTCCCTGCCAAAGATGTGTTTTCACCATCATTCACAAACAACACACATTCCCTATGAACTTCAATGTAGCTCTGTAGGGAAAGGGGCATATGGTAGGTAGCAGAAGGCCCCATATAGTACCAAGCAGAGCAGCACAAAGGTGTTAGTAAAACTTCTGAAAGCATCATACCCATATTTTCAGATGAGATCAGCAGTTCTTTTACTGTTGCAAAGGTTCTCTGTGCTTGAGATAGTCCTTCTATCACTGTTGTTTAACACTGCACAACGCTGAGCAATAAATAGTAAGCAAAATGTAAGTATTTCTATCCAGTTCCAAAATATCTTTCCGTTATCTTAGTGCATGGGAGCAACCTTGTTGTCCTTGACCAGATTCATAATGTGTATAAAGCACCTATGATCTAAAGTGACTCTCCTCTGTCCTAGTGAAATGTGGCCAAGGAACAATCGTTGTTTGTACTGTTAAGGATGTAAAGGCACTAAGTGAGAAAGAGTCCCTGTTTCCCTATGCAGGTTCTGTAGACTAAATGAGGCTTCTCAAGAAGCCTGTTGTCTGAATAAACCCTCAGAAATACTCCCTGTGTTTCCAATCTACTGCCACAGACCACCCTTCCACAGGTTTTACAAGCAAGAGTTGCTTTGGCAATGAGTTCAGTCCTTTCTCTTCCATAACCAAGTAGCTTTATGTCTGTAGGTAGAGACATTTGTTACTCATCTGTGGAAGAGTTTTTACAGTGGGGCTTGAAATACCTGTTAACATTCATCCTGGAAATTCAGGTCCTAAAATAAAAAGGGACCATAAAACACCCTGTCAGCATATGTTATGCATAAAGGAAGCATTTCAAAGATGCACTGCAAATTCAAGTAATATATGCAAAAATTGCAGACAATTGTCGTGTACTTTTTACCCTATGTTAGCTGGCAATCTGTTTATGGTCATGTTCCAGTTGACATAATATAAAGTGAAATCCTAATGTAAATCAGTCATAATGTAGCTCAGTCATAATTCAGTCCTTAGTACTAGGTGATATAATTCATTTTATTGCTACACATTACTCTAAGAAATGTATGTATTTAGACCAATGGATGAGAAAATTTCAAAGTATCTTTTTATGAATCCTCAAATAATAACATCATACCCATTACCAGCTACAAGGTGCAAATACTTCGCACAGTTTTGGGAGAAATTTACATTCCATTTATAGCATTCAGTAATAGCTGGAAAAATAGTTATCAGTAGTTAAATCACTACTCATTACTACTCAATTATTAATTACTACTTCAGCCTTCTGATTACTTCAGTTCTAGATGAAGAGTAAAGGACATTGTGTACAGACAAAGGCAGCAACTACCAAGTTAGTCTAGACCATGAAGAATCAAGCTCACTTACAGTACTATTGTGCTCTTTATATCTGTTGTACATTCCATGGAAACAACGAGGATGCATTACTTTCAGAATGACCTACATAGATCTTCCAGACTTTTCTCTGCCATCTGTTTTGGTCCTGCTTTTTACCTCTGTGAACAAGAAAACACCACTACTTCTTTAAAAGCTCTGCAGTTCCTAGTGAATAACTCAAATCAGTTCATCCCACACACATCACCACAGATGTCATGTTTGAGTGCCTTGACTCTAACAAAGAAGGTATTCTCTTACAGTGATAAATTACACGAGGGAGCCATATTTAGCTGATAAAGGAAAGAAGAGTCTTTCCATGGTAGGCAGTAGTTGCATGGTTTTGGACTTTTTTTTCTATTATCTGTTTTATTTTGTCTAGTAGGTCAAGGGCTAGCTAACTATGGAAATGTGTTCAATAGATAGAGAGGTTTTTCTATGACCACCTAAAGCATTAACTATGGGAAGCAAATTCCTATATAACTTCCTACTGCAATGCGTTTCTTTTTTGTTTTTGCTACGCATTGTGCATTATACAGTAAACCACGGGACTGAAATATTTTACTAAAAAAAAAAAAAAGAATTAAAAATGAATTAACACTTCACCTTTTAGCTTTGTTTTGCTAGTAAATCAATTCAATTATAAATGAAATAAAACTCTAAACTTGCACACTTATTTAAATATATTCCCAGATTATAAAACCATTTAGGATCAGACTCCTCTCTGATACTGAATGGGGTTATAGTTTATATAAAATTATAGTGAGCCATTAAAAATAACAGCTAATTTGTAACATATATACAAATACAGGTAAAACATATTAATTTAAGAGCATTAGTTTCACCATGTATCTTGAAGTAGAGCGCGTGTATATTCATTTAACATAATGTGAGTTTTTGGAAAATGAGAGACAAATTTCACTTGATGTACATCTGAAGCAAAATAGAGAAGAGGAGCTTTGTTGGAAGCATTCTGATCACTATCAGTACTACACATAACAGGAGCTATGGAGACTTCATAAACATTTCCTCATGGCAATGATAAAAGTTAGTGGCTCTCTGGCCTCTGTAAATGCAACCACCTGATATTTATGCTGACCAACACTATAGTTCAGTTTTAACCATGGTATTATAAACACAGGGAGAGGTACCAGCTTGTTTATTTTTCCCCTTCTTGCCCTCTACATCACAGCACCATGCAACCTTCAGTCACACTTTAGTACTTGAGGTAACGTTGTATACCACTCCACATTATTCTTCTTTCTTGGAAAAATGCCCTTAAAGATGACATAAATACCCAAGCATCTGCTGCAGACACATAAAGCGTCTTCTTAGTCAGAAAATGAAGGAGAGGGACTCAGATTTGTGCAGATTCCAATTATTGCGTTTGTTGAAGTGCTGAATGATTTCATCTGCCAATTCAGTTATGTGATTTCAACAATTCTGGAAGACTGCTAATTAGATTCTGAAGATCACAGAAAATCAAAGACAGGGTTCTCCAAAGTAATAGCCTCAAAAGCAAGCAGTCAGAACTAACTCTGTCAAAATTAAAAGGAATAGGAAATTGTGAGATACTGGTTTACAGGAGGCATGAGAAAGTCTGGTATTCTTGAAATTAAATAATAATAATAAAAAAATCTGCTGTCTGTGGAAGAAAATAAAAAAGCAATTTTCTTTCCCATCAGACAGCATAGAAACAGCACTGACTTCAGTGCCATAACATGATTATAACTGCAAGAAGGGAACACCAGGTCACAGATCATGCCATTCAAATCTAAGAGTAACTGTTTGCTGATGTCAGCAATTTTCACAAGATGACTAAAATAGCCCATTACTTAAGTGTTCAGCTGCTTGGATGATTTGGGATGGCTTTTTTTCCTTTTGGATGGAAGTCAGTTAGGGAGAATTGTGTTGGCTATTGTAAGCATAGCCTGTACTCTGTCTCGATGTTTGACCCTACATTCTTTCTTTTATATGAGATGGAATTCATTTTCCTTGGGCTATGATAAAATGAGAACACCATGGAAGTTTGTATCATTGGCAGAGGTTAAGGGTGGGCTGGAGTGGATGACCTAATTGGGCTTCTCCATCTCTATGTTCTCGCATGCTCCAAAGTTCTGTGATGAGCTGTTGCTTTAATTTTACAGGACCTTAGTGGCCAGCTTGTAAAATCTGGCTAGCAGAAACATAATATAACTTATTACATTGCTATGTCTGAGTTTGTTATTTGTTTGCTTAGAAAATAACATTCTCAGCATATAAGTCAGAAGAAATAAAGGTAGTCTTCTTTAACACCTTGAAAACGAACCTATACAGATGAACCTCTGTGACTTCACAGGGGCTTTTCCATGCATTTACCCATGCTGATAGGCTGATGGTTAAGGGTGTGACAGAGTGGAGACAGAAGGTCCTTGTAAGCTTAGGAAAAAAGTGCAATCTGTTTTTGGGTGGGATTTTTAAAATATGAAATAATTATTTTATAATAACTTTCTTTTAATATCATAAAATTAGATTTCACAAAAGATTTGCACTAGGGAAGCTTAGCTCTATAGTTTTCACATAACAAAAAGAAGCTGATTTGGAAGAATAAACTTAGGAAAAACCCTTATCAGTAGCTTCAATTTCACTTGGGCCTTATCAAGTCCCCAAAATAACTAATGGTTCTTTCAGGCACTGGAGAATTTCTTTGAAAGGAGTAGAGCAGCTAAGGAAAAGGCACATTCTCTTTACTTGCTGCAAATTACTCAGTTTTGAATTAGGACTGTTACCATAAGGAAATTCTTGCACTTCTGCTGCTACAAAAAAATAAAGAAGCATTCTAGAGAATTGAAGAAATCATAGGGGGGAAATACACATAAATAATAAAATTCTCTCCTACTCACCTCTCCAATTG